CACACACACACACACACACACACACACACACACACACACACACACACATGCCCCAGCTTGCTGCCATTGCTGATGAACTCCTCCACAGCTGCTTAATGTGGTGCATAAGCTCACAGTGATTAGTCAAAGCCAAGTCTCTTTGTCTAAATATCTTCCAGATCTTTCTCTTTCTTTCCAGAGACGCTCAGGTGATTGAGTTGTAAACAAGTGGCTACATTGGGAGAGACTCAACTGTCTAGACAATAGAATCCCATTGTGTTTTGAATTTGAGCACTGAAGGCTGGTTATGAAACTTCAGGTGGACTCAATATACAAGGAAAATAATAGGAGGACTATCATCAAGAGTGTCTCTGCTCTGAGAGAAAGTATTACTCCTTTTCTACCAGAAGTTAACTACTCAGGGTGAGTACATTATCCAACAGTCAGAAAAAGGTAGAAGCCAATGAATGCACATCATCTAGCTTGGTCCACCCTGTTGGAGCTGTTCATGCTTCTACAAGGTCATCATGTCCACATCAATGGAACCTACCCACAGCAGTGACTCATGGAAATGGGAACCAAACACAAGACGCAGCTTCCTCAGCACTATCCTCTTATCAACAATTAAATGGCACTTGCAGAACCATTGGCCTCAACTTCTTAGCTGCCAGGAAACATGGAGACCATGAGCCAGTCTCCAATGCTATCCATGACTGACCTTCTAAGGGAGAAATGGTAGCTTGGCCTGGAGTGAAAGAAAGAGCCCTGGACAGCCATGGACTGGGCCTGTGGCTGTGCAGATCTCCAAATGAAGGAGCCAACAAAGGATTAAAGGAGAAAGCAGATGATGTGCCTTGTGAAGAGCAACACAAACATAAGTTATCATTGTTATCCCTCAGATAATTATTTTGTGGTGAATTTTATAGTTTGTATGGTGCACACATGGAAGACAAGACTGGCAGAGGCTCAGGAAACCCACGTCATTCTCTTACTGTCATCAGCCTAATATCCTGTGGCAAGGGCTCCATGAACATTCCCCTTGCCAGTATCATTAACCCCATATTTCTAGGAATGCCTTATGGAAGTCTCTTTGCCTTTCCATTCTTCAAAAATCTGGGTGCCTTTGTGGACTGGTTCTCCTTAAATTGGGTTAACTCTCCTTGTGTGTGATGAAAGATGAGCTATATTTAAAAAAAAAAAGTGCTGTGTTATAATAATTTGCCTGGATTCCCAGGGCATCTTTTATCTAACTTGATAACAATGTTGTTCATTAGCAGCCTTTGTTAACTGATAACCTAAAGTGGTAACGTGGTACTCATAAGCAATTTTCTGTGTGTAAGATAGAATAAACCATCTTGTAAGGGATCTGTTAATTGATTTGCTTCTTTTAGCAGCATTTTAATTAAGACAACTGGTTTGTGAATGGCAGAAACACTCATGAGCTGAAGGCGAAAACCTCTGGTTTCTCAGTCACCGTTTTATGTTCCACACATACAAAACACCATGGGATCCAATCCACTGCCACAACTTGTGACATAATTTCCTGGAATCATACCTGGAGTCTGATTTTGTTTTAGCCCCTCATAAGGGTCCCTGTGTGAAGTCAGGGAGAGTCATATATTGCTTAATGATGGGAATGGCATTCCAAGGAATGTACCGTTGGTCAATTTCATCATTTTGTGAATATCATGGAGCCCACTGACATGAACTAAATTGGCTATAGCCTCACTAGGTGATACATTATTACAGGATCTTTGTCAGACATGCAGTCCATTGTTGACTGCAGGCCATTATGCTATACATGACAGGATGTGAAGGCCAGCGTCCTTTCCTTGGGGGGTAAATACTATCGTCACCTAGGAAGCAGAATGGAGTGGGAGTCTTTGGCAATGAAGTCTCCCTGGCTTATACTCCAAACCAAGCTCAATGGCTTCATTGTGGAAGTCCTTCCAGTCCTCTTGGAAACTCTCTGAAGCCCTTCTTGGCATCCCCTCATCCTGGGAGAAGTTCCTAGAGATGGGTGTCCAATTTGTAGTAGCTCTTGGAAGGATTTGGAAGCAACCACAGGAAGTCCCTGTACCTGTGGTACATGCAATGTCTTCAGTTAGGGACATTCTGACAGGGTTGCTTCATCCTGTGATTTTGAGTATATTAGCAGAGCCCTGGGCTGGGATAAGCCTTGCCCTTCTGACCCTGAATGCCTTGGGGCCCCCAAAGCACATGCAGTCCCCCTGTCAGCTCACCACAGCCTGGAGAACACCATGCTCAAAGGAAAGGACAGATGACTCTGAAACATTAAGAGGAAAGAGACGTGGATGAAGCAGGCTGCAGATGGCAGCAGCCAACCAGAGTCTGAGGATGTAACTTTGGTTTAGGGTCTCTTGGCCTCGTACCTAGGGAAAAGGTGAATTGGGGAAAAGGTGAATTGGGAGAGGGTTATCTGACCAGGATCAATAAATTAAAAATCATCTATCGATTTATAGATTTTTATATCTAGAAATTAAAAATGTTTATGCTACATCTCTAAATTAAAATGAATTCATAAAAATTAAACATGTCTGTATATGTGTGTCCTCCACTTTGTGTGTTAAAAGTATATGTATCATGATGGGCTGGGGTTGTGGCTCAGAAATTGAGT